TTATTTGTATCCGTCAAGGCCCCTTTTGTGAAACCTTGAAACACACCCCTGACGCGGAAAGGATATAAAGGATATTAGCACACTTACGATACGACGGGAAGGTTTTAACGATCGCGTCCCAATTAATTAAAGCGCAAGGCGCGTCGTCGTCCGGCGGAAATGACGGCTATTCCTCGGTACATCGATATTACTATCGTAATAGGACGGGACATAATTAGCAAAATTAATATTGACTCATATTCACGGCTACACGCGGTTGTGCGCGAACGAGCCGTGGGTCAATGCACCGTCAAAGTCCGCGTTAGCGGCAGGTTTACCGCTTCTCGATTTACCTTGTCCGGCTAATTTCATAAAATCAACGTTGAAACCCCCGCCCCCCCCTCTCTCTCTCTTCTCCACCCTATCCCCCTTCTCATCCTCCTTCTCTCGTTTCCTGCGCAGCTCTCGCGCTTTGCCTTCAGGCTGTCGGTGTGCCATCCAATTATCTTAACTAATCTCGGGGAGAAACCGTTCTCTCTCGCGAACTGAGTAATTTACAACGACATTTTGCTCCCAGCGCGTGTGATAACGCACGCGACGCGATTTGTCAGCCAAATTTCTCTTCAAACTTAACGAAGAGAGGAATGTTTTTTCAATTTTAATTTTTCCACAATTACGACGCGCGATTGAGATGGTCTTTACTTGCGCGTTCTTTGATCGCGAATTAGAGCAAAACACGACGTGCGCAGTCCTGCGCAACCTGTTTGGGATCAACGTTCGTGACAAGAGTGCACTACGCTTCTTCGATGATCAACAGCTACTGAGGGAATTAAGCACGTTTGTACGTGGCACACTGATGTAACGTATACTCTGTAGGAAATAGCTGCGACTTCTCTCTCTCCGATGTGTAACAGCACACGTCGCAAATGTAACAGCATACGAGAGCAGACGTGAGTGAAAAAACAATAATTTTATTTCAATGTGTTTCAATGTGTTGCTGAAGAAAAATATAAACGTGGAAAAGAGAGAGTGACTCTCGAGTGTGCGCTTTTCCGAGAAAAAATAGAAATATATGATTGTACAAGATCAGTGATAGAAAACGCGAATTGTCTCTCGAAAGTGATTTGTTCGAGAACCTAAAAAAACTATCTCCGTTTGTATATTCTACTTTTTTTTTTTTTTTTTTTTTTTTCTACGCGCATTCCCGCTTCATCAGAAAAGTAACGAGAGATCGCGTCTCACTTGAACGTTTCTGAAGTTTTAAACGCGTCCCTTTTCGAGCGGCCATCCGTGCTCGCTTTAACGAGGGTACGCCATGCATCGTTATTCCCAATTAACCCTTGCCGCGCGCGTAACACGCTAATAAACTATTTAACGACAGGCAATTAAAAGTGAACTTCGCGGACATGACGACGCGCCCGACAGAATCATGAGAGTTTCGCGCCAATCGGGCGCAAGGGCGGACAATATTCGTGAGGGCGGTATCTAAATCGCCGCGTGTAAACTCCTACCGAACTCGCCGACGGCTATAGCCGTTTAATGATAGCCAATTGTCCAAGGAGGCGAGTCTGGCGGACGTTCTGTCGCGGTTCCGGCAAATTGGAAAACTTTGCGAGTAAAGGTAGACGCGAATAAATTGTTGACGGCGCGCGGCAACTCGAATTGTGTTGCTCGTTTATTTTACGAGACGAGACTCTTCAGAAAGACGTGTACATTATATATATATTTTTATTTTTCTCTGTACAGTAGAATAGATTTTTCTTTTTTCAAACATTCCATTTTTTGCGATTTTGCGATTTTTGTTTTTTTTTTTTTGTTTTTTTTTTTATACACGTTACAGGCAAATTTTTTCAGACGTGAAATTTTTTTTTCCGGATGTGATCCGAGGCAATCCGATAAAATAAATTATTATACGCGATTGTCGTGCGCAGCAAGTGTAACAGGGCAATAACGTTATTCCGAGTGCCGCTCTCTCCCGTAACGAGATTTTCGCGTAGCGAAAGGTGAACGAGTACGGAATGCGAGAAGAAATTCTATTGCGTTCCATATTTAATCACCGGCGCTCCCGCCGGAAGAAGTTTAATTCCGCGGGGAAAATTGTAAAGAGCGCGGGGGGAGGGTCATTACCTTCCCGTCGTACTGCAGTTTATATTCCCGCGTATTTTGCGGAGTTAGTGCATATATACATTCGCAGTATTAATCTCCATTTCGCAGTTTCGTTCTCTACGTCGTACAAATAAGATTCCCCCTTGGGGAAAACGTATCGAATCTAAATTTGCTTTACAGAAAAGGATATAAGCGAAGGGGAATGAATGTATACGTAAAGAGATTTGATAAATGCGCATTATTTGCGTTCACGGCGACGTCTCCGTAGATTTTACGTCAGATTTCTCCTTGGTCTAAATTACAGCCGTGGTTTACTTCTTTCGACGTTTCAATAGATCGAATTCGCGAGAGCGCCGTTTTTTAAGCTTCTTGCGCGTCGTATGACATTTCCATTATTTCGTCATTTCTGTGTGGGATGTCGCTTCTTCCTACACGTGTACTACTTGAAAACTACTTTTTTGTTGATTTTTCTTGTACGAGTATCGGCGAGTCTCTCACTCACTCCCTCTTTCTCTCTCTCCTGACGACTGTGGGCTTCGTATTACGAGAAAACTTGTCAGATTAATGAGACTACCCGCCGTAAATTCGATACCGCTGTCAATTACGCGGAATTAATTTCACGACACGAAAAATTTATTTATCTCTTCCTCGGCTCGATATTTCTAATTATTTTTTCTTTATAATTGTTAGAGATTTCCACGTATAGTTCCACTCTCTCTCTCTTTCTTTCTCTTAAATCTTGCTATTCCGAGATACCATTATATGTACTTACGTTATATTGCATCGGTACGTTTCATTCGGAAAAGAGCGCGCGTCGCAGTACAACAAATAACATCGACACTATAAATGTCAGATTCGATAACATTAGATGTTATTTAGAGAACGAGAAATCCAGATAGACGCTTATTCTCTTACAGCGAGACAGTATAGGAGCAACACCGCGAAATATCTCGGTAAATAAGCCATACTTTACGGTAATCGAACAACGCCGCAAGGAGCTTACCCGCGCACAATGGAAGGTCTCTTGGTTTATATCTTTCACGGTTCTGGCGGGTATCTAGCGCGGCACAATGCCAAGGGAAGCTCCGCGCACGTCGACGGTTATTGTCGCAACGAAGCGCGTGCATGTCGCGTCACCGCTTTGGTGAAACGAAGTCGCTTTAACCGCGAGAGTACTCGCGTGAATTCGATCAACGTGTAACGCTGTAACGGTGTACACATGTGTGCGCCGTTCCAGAATTTCCCGGCAATTTCGCAATAAACAATTATCGCGCGCCAAACAATTATCTACTTTATATATTGTGTAGCAATTTATACACGTAAACAATCAGAGAATAATAAATAATAATAATAAATTGTAATTGAGAGAAGGTAAATGCAAAGATAAGAGCGAATATTAGTACGAACTTAAAAAACAATTCTTTGTATCACCTTGATCGATAACTTTGTAGTTTAACCCTTGGCGCTTTGATCGACAAGGTAATTTTGACTTTGAGTGCTTTGTGATTGCTACCTTTTGCCTCTATATTGGCGCACTAATCAATTGGCAGAGTGCAAAACACAAACAATTATTGCGGAGCGCAAGAGAGATCAAACAAATCGTTAAAAAAACGTACATTTTACGAAAAACTTGGGATTAAAAAAAGAAAAAGAAAAAAAACGAGGTTAAAGAAAACTAACTAGACTAGACAGACGTGACAAAAATGAGTGCGTTCGCGAGTACTCTCGAGTTGGAACAACCATCGTGCCCGCGAGTGTGCTTTTACGCCAAAACGCACTGTCGAATCATGCATTTCGCGGCGCGCAATAGTAACGCGCGCGCATCCGGTCAGCCGTGAAATAACGAAGGTGTAAGGACGCGGAAATGCGAACGCGGCGAGAAACTGCGATGCGGCGCAATTAAAACGGGAGCGCGCACTTGCGAAACGAAGTGTCCATTTTCCGCTCGGCGTTAATTGAAAATGCAGTTATTTATCATGCAGCTTTCGCGCTATGGACCCAACCACGATGGATCGGGCCGAAAAGAGCGAGATATGTTTCCGGCGTGGCGTTTTGCCAAGACGTAATTCGAACGACTTGGAACGCGCGGCGGGCGCACAAGGATAAGGGCCATATTTCACTGTTTATTTCGGAGAAATGCGGAAATCACATTGCGGAAACTTATTCGGCCGCATATAAAAATTTCCATGTCTGTTAATGTTCTCTCTTATCGATTGCGAATTCAAGCTTTCGAACGTCATGTTTACTTGTAAAAGCCAAGACAAATCTTTGGTTGTTTTGACAACAAGCAGAAGGTAAGCGAATTTGTTTTCTCAAATATTCGCGCGATTCCTTTTAGACGATCTAATATGTGTTATATCGAGTTAGCTCGTAAACTTCAGAAGCAGCATCTAGATTAAGGCGCGCATTAACGCTAGTCGCACTTTGCGCTCTGATTCACCTATTCGAACGCTCCGCGGATGAGTAATTGCCGCCGTAAACGCGACGTATAAACTTCGCAAACTTCCGTATTGACTTGCATGTCGTTCGACAAATAAAAATCCGAATCTCGTTTCGCGACGGAAAAACCGTATCACGAGTGCCGAATTATTATTCGCAGTCACGAGCCAAGAGATATGTATTTTCGTGAGTTGTTTTTTCTTTTCTTTTTTTTTTTTTTTTTTTTTTTTTCATTTTACCTTCCGCGACGCGACAAAATTGAAATGAAGTTTCATAAAACACGGGAATTTCAACGCGCGTTGCAATAAAAATTAACGCCACTCGGACGCAAAGAACAGAAATAAAAAAAAAAAAACAAAAAACAATCACACTTTGCCTGTGAACAAATTCCGTTTGGTGAGCATGTTGGTGAAAGTTGGCTCTAACTACGAAAACTAAATACAAAGAGACACATACACACACGGGATTCGACTCACCCTGAAACTCCTTTCGCGCCGAGCTGATGGAAGTGACGATGTTTGCGACGTGACCCAGCACCGCTGCGAACAACAGCAAACCGAAGAACAGCTGACCGATCACAAAAAGGTATTCGCCTTTAGTTCTTGGTCTAGAAAAAATAACGTAATATTGATTGCATAAATAAAGATGAAACAAAATGTGCTTTTCAGAAACGAACAGGCTAAGTAGTTTAAGTCAGTTTTTTTTTGTGGAAGTTTGAATGTGTTTTACACGTACATTATTATCAATTTTTGAAAGAAAGACATTTATCGTGTTAGATGTAACAACGCGTTCAACAATGTAACACACGATAGAGTTGGTGACTTTTTATTAAAAGCTGTGCGCATCATCACGTGAATACAGAAGTACGTGCAATTACGCGTTGAATGTAATACGTAGTTAATGACCTCTGTACCGTGGGAATTCTATACAGATAGTACGAGTGGAAATAAAAAAAAAAAATAATAAAAAAATAAATAAAAAAAAACAGACCAGAGAAAAACCTTTATTTTAACAAGTTCGTAATTACGTGTGCGTTTGATACGCTTTTACTGTTCCATATTCATATCGATTTGAGAATAATGCATATAATAACGTAAAAGTTATTCTCGCGGATTTTTTTGCGGCATTTAAAACGAAAGAGAAAATTCTCGAAATAACTGTAGAAGCCAGCGGACTCACAAAAGAACTATTATATCAAATTGCAGCACTTGTGGTAGATTGCAATATAGATATGTGCTGCAACATATGTAGTACTATCTAGCAAGGCATTTTTGTTCGATTGTCAACAAAACAAAACTGATTTAAATAATGTAATATATATCGTGTTACACATATTGTATTTTATATGCGAGTAAAATAAAATTTGCAATATAAAAAAAGCACAAATATAAGATTTAAATTAAAAGTGGTTTATATGTATAAAAAAAAAAACCTTTAAAACGCTTTTGTTGAAGCAATAACATATCAACGATATAATCTAAATACTCTTTCGAGCATATTCACGTGTAATGAAATATCGCGCGAAGAAATAAATACCTGGGCAGATCACCGATGGTCGTTAGAGCGAGAGTGCACCAGTAGTAGCTCTGCAAGTATTGCTTGACAACATCCGCCGTTTCGGAGTCACTGAACACCCAGTTCTTACTGCCGAAGCCGTTGTTCTTATAAACAATATGATAGACGCATCCGTTCCAGTGAAAGATCATCAATAAATTATGTATCAAAGAGATGGCGCGAAACAAATTCGGGTAATTCGTGTGTCGCTCGGTTCTGTCCATGAACGCCCAGAACCTACGTCAGAGACGAAGAAAAGCGGGTCGAGAAAATTGGCGGAAATTCCGGCGGTCGCGCGATAAATTTCAAAATTCCTCCTGCGAAGCCACTCACGCGGCCAAAGAATGGAGTGGAGCGCAACAAACGCGCGCGTGGGAGGGAACGCGATTTTTTTTTTCTGTTACCTCCGCGTATATATGACGTAAAATTCAATCCAAATCCTCAACAGGTTAAAATATGCCTCTTCTTTTTTTCATTTATTATTTACGAGTGTGGCGAAATTCTACCGCATTGACGCGCGATGCGCGCTCGTGCCATTCCGCGATTTATAGCGTAGCGCGCCCGCCGCGGTTGCGGCGATTGTGATCGATGATTTATAGAATAAACTGCGCCAAACGTTGCAGCAGAGAGTTAAATATACACAGAGAAAGTACACGTAAAAAAAATTAACTCTTGTAACTTTTTCATTTTATCGTTCAAGCAAATTTGACCTGCTGAATGACAACTTTAAAATTTTATGTAATAAATAATTTTAGCAACTTGAGATGTGTTTTTACCAAGTTTGAAGAAAATGTGTGCTATCGAATTTTCTACACTACTGCAATTTACATATATGGCTCTTTTTCTATTTCGATCTTTTTTTTTTTTTTACCATCAATTTTCGCGAATACAGAAATGTACAGTCCATTTTCTCAGCGCGGACATTTGTCACTAAACATGGCTATTCGATTCCGTTTGCTCGACACACATATCACGTCCAACGTCAACGTTAGATGAGAAGGCACACACACTTGGGGATTAATATATATCCCTTGAACTATTTTATATAAATAAAATATAATATTATATAATATAATAAAATATTATATTATATAATAAAATATATAATATATTATATATATAAAATATATATATATACATATGTATAATTTATATTTATATATAGTTATTTTAACAAAATCGGGTTTTACGCGAAGCATTTCTCCGCCGATAAATCATCGATACAAAATTTTCTTGCAAAATACGTACGTACAGGAAAAACACGCCTCACTTCTCTGTGCTTGTTGCTTTTTCTAATAAAAAATAACACTGAGATACAACACGCGAACGACCGTTCGATCGACGTGTATTTGTCTTCCTTTTTTTTTTTTTTTTCGTTTTGTTTTATCTCGGTTCTTGCACTCCCAGCAGATCGCTGATGTTCGCACCGCAAATGTGTAAACGTTCACGTGCGAAAAATCAGCACCGCCGTTATTGTGGCTTTGCGCACGCAAACTTTCACAATCCTTTTCAATCTCAGCTTAGCTGAAAACAAGACCAAAACTCGACCGTGCGTTTACCGAAAGAAGAAATCTGAACTTTTCTACTTATACACATTCGGACTCAATTACGCGGCGGCGTTTGAGATAAATGATGGAAGAAATTCACAACACGACTCTGCGTAAGTTTCGCGCGATCGAATCATTAAGAGTTCGAAGAAATCAAATTTTTGCGCGAGAATTTTTCGAAAACGTTGCGCTCCACTTTATTCCGCGCCGAAAATCAATTTCTTTACTTCAAACACCATGCATCACAAATCAAAGAAAAAAAATTAACAACTGAATTGAATTGTTTTATAGAAATAGTTGAATGACAATTACCGGTAAATTTTTACGAGTCTAAAACTTCGCAGCATACTGTTAAATCCTATAGATATATATAAAAAGTCGAGGGGCAGGAGGGATAGGACATCTACGTAAAACCTGGTGCTGTTCATGTAATGTTCTCTCATTTTCGTAGTGTCGGTTTGCAGCACGCCGTCTTCCAAGTATCCCATTCGCACGTGAAATAATATGTCGAGTACGTATAAAGTATCCGAGAAATAGTCCAGTAAGAACCACACCATACACGTCTCCCCTACATTCGCAAGCAAAACAAAAAAAAACGCTCATTTCAGTACATATGACAAACACACACACATGCTACTTATCTAATTAAATACTTAAGCGCGTGACACTAGAATATACTTTTATCTTTTTTTTTTTTTTTTTTCCCCAAGTCAGGCATCTCTTCTCCGTGGTATAATAATTTTGTAATGTAATATTTTCGAAATGATAATAAGTAAATGTTTTCCTCAAAACTTTTTAATTCAATAAAACCACCCCAGTTTTTCTAGATTGGTAAAAAGTTATTGCTACGACCAGTGTTGATCATCATTATATTTAGACCCGTGGCGTTTTGTACTTGCAATTGAAAAATACGTAATTTCTCTCCTTAACATTCTGCAGCAGCATATATTGAAATTTCCCTTGATGCTTTTATTTTTTGTTATTTTCAACATTGCAGCTTTTTATTGCTTTCTACATTATAAGCAAACCTATTAACCCCTGCTTAATATTCTATTAAAATATAAATTAAAAATGTTTCACCGCAGAGGCTGCACTTTTTTTTATTATAATAATTAATTTCTCGGATATTTGTACAAGAGCTGAAGGAAAAAACTCGTAGATTGCGATGCAATTTAATAATTTAGCATTTGCTCATACATATCTATGTATAATAATTTAGCTTTTACTCATGTATATATATGTTTTAATTACGCGTGTCTTGCTTCGTGTGTGGCCGGCCTACTTTTCAAGACGTAATTAATTTTTCGAGAAAACTGAACTACTAATCTACTTTCCGAAGTTTGAACCTTCAATTTCCTTCGGACCTTAGAAGCCGCACGTGGCCTGACACACGATCCCCATAAAAACCGTCCTTGCAAACGCGTTTACGGAATTCGAAAGAAGTCGTGAGCGCACTGCGGAATTACTAACCGTTGATCTCCTGGAAGGCAAACCTATAGATGATCACCCAGAAGTTGTAAAGAAAGGCAATGGAAACCACCATCGACCAATAGTAATAGAGACGTCCCGCAGGATCGAAGATGATGGTCCTCTTCGATCCGGAGTGCCCGGCGTAGCCTCTACTACCGCGTTGCTGTTGTTGCTCCTGCACCGTATACCTCCTGAGACAGTAATTCAACGAACGTCGTCCGCTGATCAATTGCCTTGTGAACGCCGTTCTTTTTACGCGACACTACCATTTTTTTTCCGTTACTGTTCCGCGAGGATTCGCACGCATCAATGTGAAAAATTACGACAATACACGTAAGTATATATCGAGACAGCGGCAAAAGAAAAAGACAATCTGCGTGATTTCGCACGTGACTTTTGTCAAATCGAAGAGAAACAAACAACTTCTCTGCGCTGCTACTGATTTTCCAAGATCCTTGCGCTGCCTCGTGAAAAACTCGTCGTCGCGTTGCGCGGACGATTTTTCTATGCGCAAAGAAATCTGACGGCGCGATTATAAGCCATCTTTTTTTTTTCTAAAAACGCAGAAACAAGAAACACCGTGCTATATTAACTAAAACACTTCTCCGAGAAGAAGTCGCTTGAATATTTATGATTCTTCGCTACGCAGATTTCTTCGTTATATTCATCTTTCTCGAAAATTCTCGTCTCGCGGATTTGACCTTCCATAAAAGAGAAAATTAGCATCAAATTGAATTTTTGCGCGAATATCCGCTCGTCTCGATATCCGAACACGGAATAAGAAAAAAGGCTTTTAAAGATCGCGCGTAACGTGACTTGATATTATCCCGCCCCGGTAATTGAAATATTCCCGATCGCTCGTGATTACACGTCAATAGTGGCACTCACGTTTCAGTGCTGTTGCAGCTGCTGAGATGATTGACCGACGCCGGTGTATGCAGGTGCGATTGGTCACGCGAGGGCGTGAGCGCAACTGTGTACGGCAGCTTGAATTTGCCCCTCAGGTGGTCCCTCCTCCTCGGCTTGCGGCTTAAATCGAGCTCGCTTGCTCCCCGATTCACGTACGCCCCCTGAAGCGAGTCGCGTGACGAGCTGAAATATCGCTGCGACACAGAGTACACTAATTAGGACGTACGAACCGTCACGATTACGCGATGTTATCTTACGTTTGCAATGTAAATTCGCGAAATTTCTGTTAACAAAACGAGGAGATTGAAAAATGCAATTAATTTTCTTCTCACATTCATATTTGCTTACGACGAGTGTCGAGAAATCGATGTTTTTTTCGCGACAACGACGGTTGATTAATAATAATAAAAAACAAAAACCCATCGTATTTTAATTGTTGTCCGCACAAACCGCGTAAGCACTCCGCTTGTTTTTCATTTCCCGGCAATCTTCACATCACACACACATATTTTCCATGCCGTTCGTTCCCGCCGCAATGTTCAAACCGGTATCGTGATGCGGCTTTCCCATAGGCGCTCGTCGCGCACAATAGTGCGAATAGCGCGACGTTGTTATCCGCTTGCGGACATTTTTTTTTCCGCGTCAAATAGTTTGGTTTGAATTAAACGCGCCGGTGCGCCGTGACGCTTGACGCGAAACTATTTTCGCAATACATTTATTTCGTGTATTATAATCCCGATTAAAACATTTTTCGATGGTCGAGCAAACTTATTTATATTTCTCCGGGAACAAATTTTTTCTACGTTTTCTCTCACCGTTCTCTCATTTCTCTATACAGGGTGTCTGACAACGAACTATAAAGCCGACGTGTGTAAATAGATCGAGTTATTCTGAACAGAAAAGTTATATACCATTTTGCAAAATTCGCAATATTTATTGAGATATGAATTAATAAATGTGAACCAATGAANGCGCGGGGAGCNATGATCGGACTCTATAGGCGTGCACAATTATCAGCTCTACTCCTCGCTCGCCGCTGCTCGCTGCGTACCGCCGAATAGCGCCCGATCGCAAGAAACTGAGTCGTTCCGCGCTTGTTTGTTTACTCCGCCTCTCTTACTAAGACATTACATGAGAGAAGCCATTTTTCTTTTCATCTGATAATCGTGCACGCCTATAGAGTCCGATCATCGCTCCCCGCGCCTTCATTGGTTCACATTTATTAATTCATATCTCAATAAATATTGCAAATTTTGCAAAATGGTATATAACTTTTCTGTTCAGAATAACTCGATCTACCTACACACGTCAGCTTTATAGTTCGTTGTCAGACACCCTGTATAGGTACAGTTTTCACATGTGACAGCACAAATACGCGTATAAACGAGAGAGAAAACAGTAAAATAAATATCTCGCATTTTTATTCGCGCGCCTTCACCGGCCTAATCCCGTCATTTTTCCCCAGACAGAAATGTAAAACTTGCCGCTGAAAAATTGAGCGCGCGCGCGTTTAAGAAGGAATTACAGAGAGATCGATATCGATCGAAATGCTCAATGACGAAATTTGCGTGCAAATAGCTGGGATACTTCTCGACGCGGATGCGAGAACGAAAAGAATATTTTACCGCGCAATATATACATATATATATATATATATCTCGCAACCAACCTGCTGCTGCTGCTGGTGGTAGTAGTGGTGAGTGGGTGTGTGTCGGCCCATGAATTTACCGCTGACGAGGTCCAAGAGGCTCTGCCTCGAGGGTAAAACTCCCCTGGACACGTTCTCCGCGCTCTTGGTGTCATCCTCCTTCTCCCTGCCGCTCCCGGCTCCGCTCCTTCCGCTCCTGCCGTCCCGATACTTCTCGCCCCCGCAGCTCAGGGCGGATATAGAGCCGCCGCTCAGACGATGCCTCACACCGCCACCACCGGACGATGTGACGCCTGCAACATCAAAGGGAAGAGAGCGGCTGTAAACGGCAATTTCTTAGTAAACTGGATCTACAAGACCCCTGTCACCTTTGAGAACATGTCAACCGACTTTTAGTGAGTTGAATTTTCAACCAAAATAAAAGGAACAAAGAGAAAAGACCTCTTCGGTATCTATATTTCATTCCCGGTTGTTTGCGACTATAAAACGTAATTTACAATTCGCACACGAGAAAATATACATATATATTTATAGCGACATATGAGTAATAGCTTTTGCGCGCGATTGCAAGATAAACAAAATGTTTAATATCTCGCTCATATATATTTTTTGTCCGAGATATGCTTCGTATTTGCAATATTCGTTTCGTTTAAATTTGTTTATGTTACGCGCTAGTTATTTTTCTTGTTGCATGCAAATCGAAAGTTGACGCGAAAAATAACGCGATTTTCGAGATAGTTTTAGAAATACGCATCTATGTTTTGCAACACGTTGAATGTTCGGACCGCGAAGTTCATTAGAAATCGCGAAAAAAATATATGTAGTTTCAATAATAACATCACGAGTATTTCCGACAAAATAATATTCTGCTCTACAAAAAAAAAGGATAATAAATATCGGTACCACCTGTGAATGGAACGGCACCGTAGCGGGAAATTTCACTCTGGTAAAAGGTCTTCTTTTCTCTTTTCCGAGTGTAGAATTTCCTACGTAATGAGGGGATAAAGTACAACGTATAGAAATAGCAAAGAGAAGGAGTATTGGGTCATTATCGTGAAACGTAAGAAATAAAATAAAAAAAAAAAAAAAGATCGTTTTAGATTATTCTTCAATTTTCAATTCCAATGAAACTTAAACGCGCCCCGTCCTCTGCGCTCTTATATGTATACAAAAGGCTACTTTAAAACGGAATTCAAGAGTATCGAACCGATACTCCAATTTTAATTTTCGCGATATGAAACCTTTCGTCGCGAATATATATTCATTAAATGATATAATAATATAATATATTTCAGCGCGAATATACGCGCTGAAAATAACAGATATCGTCTTGATGGATTGCGCGCGCGAGTCTCTCGTTGAAAGTGCAAAGGGAAATAAGCAAGTTTCGCGGAAGTGGAGCGTCCTGGCATTATCTTCGTGCGCGATGACACCTACCAACGTCAAAGAAACTGCAACGGAGTCTCGCTTTCTTGCAGCAGAGAGATTACGGCTCATCCACTTTTGCCAGATAGTAACGAGGCGTGACATGATAAGGGCGCAAAATCCGTGCGGAGAAAGCTCGCGTGTTTCGTCCCGTCGTCTTCTGAATCCGCATTTAACCGGGAATAACTACGTCTCGGCGGATCAAGTTATCGCGCGTAAAGTTTCTTTCCGCGCGCAATCTCTTTTTCTTTCTCTCTCTTTCGAGCTGCTCGATTCGCTCTTAATCGGACGCAATATACGCGATATTCCTAAGTTTTTTTTTTTTTATTTTTATTTTTTATCCGCATGATTATGTTCTTTCGCGATCGTTGACAAGAAAGCGCGTCGCGACAAATTCTCAGACGACGATGAATCGTCTTCGCGATCCCGCAAGTAAATTGAGCGAAGAGATTCATTTCGGCGTAAACCGCGAGTTTGTGACTATTTACTGTGTCGCGCCAAGTCAATTTATTCTTAAATAACGGCACTGAAAATCGGAGACGCGTCGGGGAAAGACAAACGCGCGACGCGACGGCGATGAGCCGGATGAAGAGAAAAACGTAGCGAAGGGTGAATAATTAAATAAAAGACGTACGTGTATGAAAATACGTGACCGCGCCGAGGAGACTCATCGCGCGAGGGTAACGAAGCGTTCTTTCTACTCTAAAAACGCCATAAAGAGATTCCGTGCTCTCTGCGGAGCTGTTTCGCAAATAATCTCGCACGAGATTTGCGCGCGCCTCCTATTAAGAAAGCGATGGAAAAAAAAAAAAAAAAACGAGATCGCAAGAAAATCCGCTCCGACGACTCTCTTCATTACCGCCTTCTGTTATTTTCTCATTAATGAGATGTAAAATGACATTGCGCGCGAAAAAGAAGCAGCAAGAGAGAGAGAGAGAGAGAGAGCGTGTCGAATAAAACAAACGAGCCCGCAAATATCGCGTTCGATAACGCAGTGTGGGTCGGACGTGTAAAGTGCTTTATTTTTTTCTCGAGTACTAAACCAAAAAAAATGTTTGCTCAGTTTGCCTAACTGACATACAATGACACCTGTGACTTCCACATATCCTATGTGGAAGTTAATTACTTTATATGAAGCCAATCACTTTTTGTATGTTTATTATCGAAGATAAAGCAAGATGCGTAGAAAATATAACTCGTATTTTTAAACAATAAATAATACTTGAAATACCGGTCTCTATCGAGCAACAAAAAAATAGATCTTGTGGTTTATTAAAATAGAATATAAAATATAAAATTTACATAAATGTAATTACAGACGTTTCGGCCCTTACTTGAGGCCTCTTCAGTATAAAAAACAAAATAACGCCATGTCGCAAAGAGGATAACAAAATGGTATAAAAAATACAAATCTTACATATGACAGTCCAATATTACATCAAAATGGACTGTCATATGTAAGATTTGTATTTTTTACATCATTTTGTTATCCTCTTTGCGACATGGCGTTATTTTGTTTTTTATACTGAAGAGGCCTCAAGTAAGGGCCGAAACGTCTGTAATTACATTTATGTAAATTTTATATTTTATATTCTATTTTAATAAACCACAAGATCTATTTTTTTGTTGCTCGATAGAGACCGGTATTTCAAGTATTATTTATTGTTAATTTTACGAGCGTGATATTCTCGTATTTTTATTTACATGTGACATTACTTTCCGTGTTATAAACACAATGTATATTGTGTGTGTTGCGTCAATAGCGTACAAAATATACAAAACTAAATTATACAAAAATGGACGAGTACATATGAATGGCAGACGATTCCAATTAAAGTTGGAAGAGATCTCTCGTTAAGATCTCGCATTTAATAGAAAGTAAGTATAAAAGCAATTGCTTTCCGGTGCCCGGGAGAATTAATAGGATAAGTTTTGTGAAGTAAGAGAACACTATAAAATAAAGTTTTAAGAGTACTTGATAGAAAAAAAAAAAAAAGAAAAAAACACGCGACATAAACTATTGAAAGATTGCGTTGCCGATTCTCGCGAGAGTGAGTTGCCGATTCCGAATCCGGTAGAGGTATTTTTTTTCTTTCTCGGGAAAATGTAAACTGCCATCAAAAGACCTCAAGAGACGATATAAATTATTTGAAAAGAGCACGTCCACACATATAATAGACTTTATAATTGAATACAAGCTCGTAAAAGAGTATTGCATTAAAAGTTCTAATCTCGCGAAAGAAGAAGCTCTCATTCCGAAAGACGAAATAACGCGACTGAAAATAATTTTAGATCAAACGCGAACAAGACCGATGAATTTATGCGCCGCACGCCTCGCTGGTCATTATGACAATAGACAATTTTAGTTCGGTGTCGTCGCGAGACGCGGTTTATTCACGTTGCGAGCGTAACGTTGTGTGCGGTCGATGCTTTGTACGAGAGCACCATTGTACCGCTCTCTCAAAGACCGACGCTACGCAAATATTCGATGTGTTCGGGTAAACGTACACATCCCGGTCCCATACGGGCGTACGTACGAACGTGATACGATCGTGTCGGCAATGAGAGACACGACTCCGCGAGCCGAATTTACATTTCCCCCGGGCCTGTGCATGTTCTTTGCCCGTTCCGCAACTTCATCGAATCCCAGACCTGCTTTTTCCGCTCGGCCAAGTTCGTCCGCTTGATCCTTCCCCGACGGCGATATATGGGCCGCGGGGCGCGATGCGCGCGCCGCGCATTTTAAAACGCTAATCAGAAACAAAAGGGGAACGGGCCGTGGCGTACCTCATAAACCGCAATTTATGAGCGTTATGTGCCGCTTGCGCGAGCCCTTTCAGCCCTTCTCTCGCGGACTCTCCCCGCGCAGGGAATCTTTTATGAGTCAAGCAGCGACTTCGCGTCGCTTAGCATTCAAGAAAAGAGGATCGTTTCGAGGAACGTTACCCTTAATCGTGATTTATTTCGAGGTCGAAATTGCGCGATGTGCGGAACGGCGCAAAAATTTTTACTTCAACTATGGATTTCACAGCGTGGTATAAAAATGTTTTACAGCCACGTGCGTACGCGTGTGTGTGTGATTCGTTTGTGTATTCTATCGTAAAAAAAGGGTGATGCACGTACGTGTGCACGTGTACAAGCGGATGTGTTTCTGCGTATGCCGCGTACGTACGTAAACGCAAACATACGCATGTTTCTCTACACGCACGCGCGCTTACACGTAAAACGTAAAAATGCAAACGATAGTTCTAATCTACGCAGAGTTTTTTAGCGGCGGGATTTTGCTAATCCCGAGAATTCGCAGTGTATGTGCCACGTCGCGTCATCATTTCCGGAACTTGCCGTCTCCACGAACGAACGACTTTTTCCCGTGAATGATATATTCGTTTTCCGAACGAAAATATCGCGATTCCAATATCCGGCCGGGGTTCTCATCGTCATCCGCGTCGGCACTCGGTCGCGATCCGCGCAGAAGAAAAGTAAGTTTAATGGTGACGCCACAGGCGGGACTAAACGGAACATTCTCGCGATGGAAAAATTGAGAAAGCGCAGCGACGACGAGTTATGTAACCGAGTTTAATTGCCCTTTGTTGCAACGACCGGCCAAGAATAGCAATGATATCGGATAGCGAGACTGCAGCAAGAAAGCGTCCGAGATGAGCGTCTTTATGAAGAAAGAGAATTGCTTTCTTTTCGAATGTATATTTTTCTCCAAGCGCATAGATTTTTAGCGTTTCGATGATTTCGATCGGTCTTTTTTTACTCTGTCATATGATACGCTTCAAACTTGTAACTATTTATAAAAGAAAGTTTGCTGCGCGATATATGTGACGCAGCTTCTCGAAAATGATGTTTTCTCGGAAATCTC